GCAACAGCATGCTCTGCGTATGTACAATTTCTAAAACTAGGTAAATTATTGACAAACAAAATGACGAAACAAGAATATCAGCAGTCTCGTTCAAAGTCATCATTTCGTAAGTTCTATGGTCGATACAATGACCTTGTCAGCAAATACAATTTATCATTGAGTCAAATGCTGACTGACGTTTTTCATACTAATTGTTAGGCCATCATTTACACACTGAATTGTCGACGGATTTTTCCGTTATTTCCCGATCATGACAAGGAGCACACGACGGGTGTGACCGGTCGGCAGGGGATGCTCACTCCTCCATAGCAGCTGATCCCACCTCTGCTGTTTTGGAGGTCCGTGTTTGCTCTGCTCCTATTTTGTAATGTTTAATGGACTTTTGAACTTGAATACTGTTCGTTATCTCCATATACTCAGTATTTCATGATATAATTATGGTATGGACAAGAATTTTGAACCTTCTTCAAGCCAGTTACCTTGACCTTTTTCACAGTTGAGTTTTAGCTCACTTAAGCCAAAGGTTCAAGCCTTAATTTGTCTGTTGTCGACGTTGTTGCCGTCGTCGCCGTAGTCGTAAAACTTTTCACCGCGGCGTTTTCGACTTCTTCTTAAGAACCATTGGGCCAATTGCAACAAAACTTGACAAAAAGCTTAGGTGAAGAGAATTCAAGTTTGTTCAAATGTAGGGCCACGTCCTCATTCAAGGAGATAATTAAGATTTAGGGAAAATTTATGGGCATCTTTCAAAAAATCTTCTCAAAAACCACTTGGCCAGAAAAGATGAAAGCGTCATTACATTGATACTGATGAATGAACAATTTTGCTGTTTGACTGTCTATTGTATGCCATAATGGTTATGTCAATAAATTGAATTCATGTCTTGTATATGATATTTAGTGTATTTTTAAAACAAGCTTTATAATGTTTTATGGAATCTTCATACTGATATACAAAAATTTGGGAAGACGGAAAGGAATTTGATGTTTTACTGCTTTTATGCTACTTTGCAAATTCTGACAGATTTTGGGAGAAAGATTTCGTAAAACATTTCCACACATCGTTTTAAGTCTGAAAGAAATTAGGGCTAGGAAGTTTTTGGCAAACACAAGAAAAACAAAGGAAGCAATTCATTTATCCAACATATTTCTGTTTTGAAAACCTGTTCACATTGTAGGGCTACAAAAGACAATCGAGAACCTTCCTCACTTAGTGTAGATTCAAATTTAGGCCATTCCAATTCTTTCTTTTAGCATCCGCATGCACTTTGCTTTTGGAAACCCAAAACCAGAACAAGAGACCCAAATTAAAGGCCTTGAATAGCTCTTTTCTTCTGATAAATTGGTCAACATACCCCAAGACCGAAAGGCATCGACTCACAGGGTTTGATGATCCTTTTAGATCCTTTATTATCCAAACTATAACATTTGTTTATGAATTTTGATAAAAATTTAAAGTATAGGTTATTGTTGACATATTCCTGTGCTCCAATTTTAAGGTGCTTCAACCTTCTAGGTTTAGTGACACTACAAACTTTGATATTTCTAAGAATCTTAGTATTCAATTAATTTAAAATGTTTTTAAAATGAATAACTGTAAGGGTTTGTAAAGTACGTCATTGTGATCTACTATTTATATGACCCCCCCCCCCCCCCCCGAAGTCTTAGTTTGATCAATTGACAATTTAAGGTGTTTTGATCCTATGTTTCAAAATGTCCATTCTATGCATCTAAAACAATTTGAGAATAAATAAATGCAAAATTCAAAAGTAGGTTACTGTGACCTACATTTTCCGAGCCCCAAGATGCATCAATTGAAAAAAAAAAATGATCTAAGACCTCTTACTTTTCAAGTTCAAAAGATTTGACAAAAAGAATGATCAAATTCAAATAAGGAGGTCATTGTGACCTCTTTTGGGATAACAAATCTGAGGGTCCTAAGGCACATCAACTGAGAAGGTTTGATGATCTTAGGTTTCTAAGTATCCAGGTTGAAAATATTTGAGAATGAATATAATGATAAAATTCAAAAAGTAGACCACTGTGACCTAAATTTGAATTAATAAATCGATGCATCAATTCCATTTTAGTGACCCTACATGTACATCTCATAGTGTTCAAAATATATAGGTTTAAAGACCTACTTTTAAGTTTACACATCCTGAGGCCCCAAGATGCATTCATCTGAAAAAAATTCAGAAAGTAGGTCAGTATGACCTATTTTTAGATCATATACTCCAGGGCTCTAACATGTATCAGCTGACATGGTTTGATTATCCGGGGCTTTGACACTGCTTCTAAGCCATGCATCTAACGAAATTTAAAAACGAAAGTTGCTAAATTAGCCTATTTTTGAGTTAATATATAGCAAGGCCTCAAGATGCATCATCTGAACAAGGTTTGATGATACTAGGCCTTTACTTTGAAATCTTAACAAAATATTAAATGAATAATGATAAAATTTAAAAAGTAGGTCACTATGACCTACATTTAAATTGACACATCCCAGGGCCTCAAGATTTTAAAATGATGGGGTCTAAATATCAGAAAGTATGTCACTGTGGCCTACTTTGTAGTTAACACACCCCAAGGTTCCAAGATATATCAACTGACAAGGTTTGATTATGCTAAACCTCTTAATATCCGAAATACTAGTACTAAATTTTTTTTGAAAATGAATACATGATGATAATCTGCCCAGTGGTTTTAAAGAAGGTTTTTTAACAGCCACTACTTCTTTATCTTTCCCTTATTATCCCCCTTGTTTAAGGGTCACATCCCTATTATTAGTATAAATAAAATACCTTAGCCCAAGGATACTCTGTGACAAATTTGATAAAAATTGGCCAAGGGGTTCTTCAAATATGGCCAAAGTCAGTAGACCAGCAATTGATTATTTTGGTAGAAATACTTTGAATTCAGTAATCACTTTCTGTAATTATCAAGAATCTGTTGAATTTTACCAGGCAAGTATATGGTAGCATTTACTATCTTGATTTATCACGTTTACTCCTTAATACAGTGGATATAGCTCCTATGATATCGTTTTCATATCAAATTGTGACGTCACATTGGTGTTTTGCATAAAGTAATGAAGTCAAATGAAACGGATTCACATAAAAAAAAAAAAAAAAAAAAAAAAGTGTAAAACGTGATAGCTATGTGTAAAATGTGTGATAAAAAGAATCTCCCATTAGTTTGTGGTTGGATATGATTTTTATCCAATTCGTTGTGTGTTTTTGCCAAGACTCAGGGATAGAAAACACAACTCACTGGACAAAATCATATCCAACCACAAACCATGGGGGATCCTATATCTATCTGCAAGAAAAATACACGATATCAAATCCTTCGAATGATTTCATTTATATATGATCAAGTGTGTGTTTTATATTATCGGTCAGTGTGGGTTTTTATGCCCCTGGGTCGAAAGATCCCGGGGGTATATTGTTTTTGTCCTGTCTGTCTGCTTGTCTGTTTATATGTTTGTCTGTTTCTCTGTCTGTTGTCAACTTTAACCTTGCCCATAATTTTTGATTGGTTGGAGCTATGACTTTCATATTTCACATGTGTATTCCTTGTGACAAGACCTTTCTTTTCATATTTGACCTTTTGACCTTGACCTTGGAGTTTGACCCACTTTTGCAAAATTTTATGAGACTTTAACCTCGGCCATAACTTCTAAACAGTTGGTGCTTGGGGTTTCAAACTTCACATGTGTATTCTTTGTGACAAGGCCTTCCTTTGGATACCAACAACTTTGACCTTTTGACCTTGACCTTGGAGTTTGACCTACTTTTGAAAAACTTTAACCTTGGCCATAACTTCTGAACGGTTAGAGCTAGGGCTTTCATACTTCACATATGTAATACTTGTGACAAGACCTTCGTTTGAATACCAACCACTTTGACCTTTTGACCTTGACCTAGGAGTTTGACCCACCTTTGAAAAACTTTAACCTTGACCATAATTTTTGAATGGTTGATGCTAGGGCTTTCATACTTCACATATGTAATCCTTGTGACATCACCTTCCTTTGGAAACCAACCACTTTGATCCTTTGACCTTGACATAGGAGTTTGACCTACTTTTGAAAAACTTAAACCTTGACCATAATTTTTGGATGGTTGGTGCTAGGGCTTTCATACTTCACATATGTAATCCTTGTGACAAGACCTTCCTTTGCATACCAACAACTTTGACCTTGACCTTAATGTTTTACTTACTTTTAAAAAACTTTAACCTTCGCCATAACTTTTGAACAGTTGCAGCTAGGGCTTTCAAATTAAACATTTTTTATCTTTTGGCCTGGATTTTGACTTGTATTTGAGAAACTTTAACCTTCGCCATAAGCTGCCATACGGGGGCATCAGTGTTTCACAAACACCTCTTGTTTTTTCTTTTTTCATTTTCTGAAGAGGTATAGGTGCATATTTGAATTATAGGTGGATGCCTAACATAGAAAAAACCATTAAAATGGCCTTATTCAAATTTGTTCAAATCTTGGTCAGTTGGTTAATGTCAAAAATGCCTTAGTTTTTGTTTCCTTTCTGTATCCCATCCTATAGAAATCCTCTCTCCAACTAGGAAGAGTTGTGCACCCCAATAATTTTTCCGAGATACAGTATACTACAGAATACAAAGCTACTACTTTATGAATGTGCCCCCTCAATAATGTCATCCGACCCCATCCCCCCCCCCTTTTTTTTTTTAATTTTGCTTGTCAAGGAATTTTCGTTCAGCGTTGTCACAAAACAGAAAATGTTTGGCTGTAACACCCCCCCCCCCCCCCCCCCCCACCCCGGAAATTGCTTTTGGGCCTCTTATGTATCCAAGGGCGACAATATCTGCTTGGAATATTGCCAAAGACAATATAGGCAAGGTGGCTATAGGGTACTGTAATATACTCTGATAATAACATAATTTATATGGCAGTTATTCTATGACACTAAGGAAATTTATATGGCAGGATATCCTATGACACTATGAAAATTGCCAGGATAAAGATAAGAATTTTAATTTCATTTCTAACAAACACATAATTATATACATGTATTCCTTTTATTTTCATCACAGAATTCATACCATCACACATGCACTGCTAGTCACAAGTACACAACAGCCAGGAATTTAGTAAAAGCGAAAGATCAGGGGTATTATATTACATCAAACATCATTGCACTTGAACCTTTCAATGAAGTTTAACTTCAGTCAATATCACCTTTCTTCAATAGAACTGTTTACTTTAGGATCTTCTTCTTCAGAACACAATTTATCACTGTTTAAACGTTTTCCACTTCCAGAGTGGCAGTTAATATATGAGACTGAAGCACCAGATTGATCAGATAAAGTTACATCAAATGGCACAGATTTTCTTTGAGCACCAGAAATCTCGGGTTTTGAGTCCTGGTGCACAGATGTATGAGAGTCCATTTTCTCTACAGTTTGTTGTATTGAGTCACTTTCTACATTATTGTCAGTAACCAATACATTTCTGTGTCTTAGACTGATTTGATTTGATGGTACAGTAAAATCAGAATATGATGCTGATGCAGTAGGAGAACTGGCTGGACTTGTTTGTTTTCTTTTTGTTAATTGTTTTTTATCAGAGGCACCTGCTGGCTGAACTCCTATGCTGGTTACTTCTGAGTTGTTTTCATTTGCTTGTTGATAACTGGTCTGCTGAGAGTTTAAGTTTGCATTCTGTTGTCTGTTGTCAGTGGTATCTGTTAGTGAATTGTCTGGTCTCTGTGTTTCTCCTGGTACATTGCTCTGTTGTGTGGTGTCTGAACCAGTTGTCAGCTGGTTTCCTGTTGCAATTGTGGCTTGGTTGCTGGTTTCTTGTCTTTGCTCAGTATTGCTTGCTTCTTCTCCTTGTGTTACATTGCCTGTTACTTGTCTTCCATTCTCGGTTGTCTGGCCTGGTCGTCTGGTATCTGGTGCCGCCCCTTGCTCGGTGTTGTGGTTTGCGTCCGGTTGGATGTTGTTCCCTGCACCAGTCTGGGTGTGCTGGTTGTTTTGTTGGTTGGTGACAATTTGCTGAATTCTTTCCTGCTGTAAAATTGCTGGCAGCTCATAGTGATGGAAAAAGTACAACATGGAATGCTGTGAATAGGAAGGAAAAAATAAAAATAAGTGACAATTGAGAAACAACAATGAAAGATAGAAATCTAACAAACAAAACTGTTTCAAAAGATGAAGTCATATCAATAAATACTATGATTACATAAATTTGGATTTATTTAATATTGATGAAATTATTTAGTTCCTGATTTATTGTTTAGTATGGGAGGAAAGCTTTCCAATTTCTCATATGAATTGCTATATTTTATTTTCCAATTATGCACATTTTCCAATAATGCACATTTAAAAGACCAAATCATCTTAAATATTGATCAACAATACAAATAAAAATTGAAAAAGATGTTGTTCTCCAGAAAGGAAAATCTTTTTTTCAGTTACTGTAGAATACATTTACACAGTAAAGACAATGTATAAGTTTACCTGAATGAAAAGCCAGGACGTAAACAGAGCGAGTCCACTGTACTGACCGTTAAATCTATAGTGGTAAGCGTAAAACGCAAAGTGGTACAGATAGAAAAATCTGCAAAGAAGACATCAATAATAAATATAGATGTAAACAGACCTATCAATTCATACATCACCTGTATGTCGAGTTAATAAAGCTAAAACAGACCGTGTTTATTGTGTATATCATAATATCGTGTTTAGAGCCTCTTAACTCTGTAAAACACACTCACCTGAGCCAGTGTCGTTTACCGATGTTGGTATGGCAACAGATAGCATCGTACTGGTCGGCAATCCAAACAATCAGGATAATGTAGAATGCTGTTGTCGTATCGTTAAAGAACTCGGTCATGATGGCTTCCATTCCTTTAATTAATTTAAATGAAAAGAATATTTGCAAAACTCTATTCTGACTTAACTTAAGCTTTTTTATTTTTTCAAGATTTGAAAATTCACTTTCTTATGAATTCTTTAATAAGAACTTATTCTTCATCATTTTCTTTCAAAAATAAAAAAAATACTTGGGTTTGCTCATACGTGTAAAACAAACATGCATAGCAACTTGGCTTTTTATACTTCTTTTAGCAATCAGAATACGTTTTATTTCCATTAGTGAACTCTTCAAAGGCGTGTTTGGTCGTTTGACAGGGACAGCATGGCGTTGCGGATAATACAAAACATGCCAATCTCAATCCAATTTTTAATGTTAAATGTATTTGTCATTCCAATTAAAGAATAGAAGAACTAAAAGACATGTGTAAGAGAGCGAGAACCCTAAATTTATCATCCATTAATAAAAAATATGACATTTCCGAGGCATGTGTATTGTATTTAGATGTACCATACGATAAATAGATACATACGATCAACAATAGATATAAATTGATATCTTTGTCATTCCTATCTCTTGATGTATATAAAGTCCACAACAAAAAAATATTTCATTTGCATTTTCTTAGGATTTGTTCATCAACATTCAACATATTGTTTACATGTTTACGTTACGTTTGTCCCTGAAATCCCGCGAGATTTGTACATTTTCCGACTTTTTCACAAAAGAGCGCACTAAGAAGTATATCTCTTCCATAGTGGAAATAGAACGTATTTTTGAGAAAGTATGAGATAACAAAAATATATTCAGCTTTAAAATACATTATGTGGCAAAATACTTAAATATATGCATTAAATGATTGCTTTATTAGTTTTTCTAGTTCTCAAAAGCACACAAGGTGTGCATACTTATTTTTATAATGTGCATTACATGTATTCTAATTAAATAGTCACCAGACAGTGATTCAATCTCTGTATCATGATTGGTGGAGTTTGGTCACAAGACTTACCAACCAGAGCCAGAATAACAGTTAGAAGTGGAGCAGCAGGAAACGCTATGGTAACATTCATCTCCAGCATCTGTAGCAGGTCCACTGAAAAATATCATACATATGTACACATACAAACTTATCAAAAACTTCTTTCTCTCTAATATTTTCTTATTCAGTTACCTTCTCTTTTTTCTGATTAATTTAATGACATTAAAGAAGTAAAATAGAAGCTCTCTTACCAATAAAGATAAAGATCTGGTGATGAGAATATCTCAGTAAGGTAGAAACACACACCGTCTGAAAAACAAGGAACAGCAATATAACAAATCTATCACAAGATGAATAAAGTTCATAATATACGTGTAATACTAACACTTAATTTGTACTAAATTTAGTAAAGGTTAACAATAAGCAAGACTGATATTTCCATGTATCAACTAAGGATGGAATGGGGTTTTTGACCTATATTTATATATGTGTGTGAAAACATTTTCAAAAATAAAGCATTAAAAATTTTTTTTACAGGATTTGTTTTGTTAAAATCCAATGTCCAAGTAATATTAGTTGTATTATACATAAGATCCACAACCTGTTTAACAATCATTACAGACTTACAAGTATGGACCTGGGTATGATAAAACACAGTTATCATAGACTTACAAGTATGGACCTGAGTATGATAAAACACAGTTATCATAGACTTACAAGTATGGACCTGAGTATGATAAAACACAGTTATCATGGACTTACAAGTATGGACCTGAGTATGATAAAACACAGTCATCATAGACTTACAAGTATGGACCTGGGTATGATAAAACACAGTCATCATAGACTTACAAGTATGGACCTGGGTATGATAAAACACTGTCATTATAGACTTACAAGTATGGACCTGAGTATGATAAAACACAGTTATCATAGACTTACAAGTATGGACCTGAGTATGATAAAACACAGTCATTATAGACTTACAAGTATGGACCTGGGTATGATAAAACAGTCATTATAGACTTACAAGTATGGACCTGGGTATGATAAAATACAGTCATCATAGACTAACAAGTATGGACCTGGGTATGATAAAACACAGTCATTATAGACTTACAAGTATGGACCTGAGTATGATAAAACACAGTCATTATAGACTTACAAGTATGGACCTGGGTATGATAAAACAGTTATCATAGACTTACAAGTGTGGACCTTGGTATGATAAAACACAGTTATCATAGACTTACAAAGACGAGCATGATGAAGGCTGCAGCCAGGTAGGAGCTTCTAGCCATCCACATACTGACAAAGCGGTAGTGTTCCCCAGTCACAACATTCCGAAGGTATCCTAACATGTACACAAGGTTTCAAATCATGTCAATGCAACAAAGGAACTTAATATCACAAAAAATAAAACAAACGCAAAATAACTTCTTCCAAAATAGCAATCATTCTCTTAAGTATCATGAAAACTCACTTATCCTGAGAGACTTGTGGTTACTATTTAAAAAAGTTCTGTGGATATTTCCACATTAAATTTCCACTTCCCTGAAATATCACACAGAGTAGTCTACCTTTATTGTCCTCTTTCTCGGCCAACTGTTTGATGCTGGACATGAGAATGTCATCGTATCCCAGAAACTCGGCCAACAGGAATCGACTGATGCTGTCTCCAAAACAACTCTCCTTTTCTGGATCTGAAAAACATTGCAGATTGATCTACTGTATAACAAACTCTAAGTTCAGCGTCTATAACTCACTATACAAATCTTCAAAAACAATGCAGATTGATCTACTGTATAACAAACTCTTAAGTTCAGCGTCTATAACTCACTATAATACAAATCTTCAAAAACGAAAAAGAAACTAAACTCGTAGTAAGATTATGAAACTTTTCTTTCAGTTTCAAATTTACAGTTACATACAGCTTTTCTGGTATTATTTGAACACAATATAGACATGTATAAATGTTTATATACATAATATTTCCTTTATCTTTGTTGAAGTCAATAAAAGATTTTTGAGACTTACCCAGAGTCACTAGCATCACTGTGATGTTAAGCCTCTGTCTGGTTTTAGGGGAGAGTCTCAGAAATCCATATTCTAGAGCATATTCCACAATATATTTCTCCTCTGGCCAAACTACAAAAATTTATAACAGAAAATAATATGATTTTTAATCAGCTGCAGTAACATGGAGCTTACATATAACAGTAAGTACGCATTAAGGTTAGATGTCACAATGGCACTCATACAGAACTAGTAAAAAGATCAATTTGACCTCCTTTCCCTTTAACTCACCCACTTTGGCCAGCATTTCAATTTCTGAGAGATGGTAAGAGGCGGGATTCTCGTACATTTTTTGTTTCTCCGGTGGTGAGTAGGTGGTGTTCCCCTCCATATGTAAATGAGAGTCATCAGAAAACAAGGCCTCCTTAGTATCAGCACCAGGTAACCCACCACTGGCATTGGTCTGCTCAGAGAACTCCGCAGGAGCTTGACTACCATTAAGAGTGGTCTTTCCCTCGTCAACCCCTTCCACATTTATGTCCCTTTTTTCCACCAGTTCTTTCTCCTGCCCACTCTCATGGTGTCCAGCTTTTCCCTCTGTTTCATCTTCCCCAATGTGCCCCTCCTCTCCCTCGGAGCTTTCTGAGTCTACGCCTTCTTCGATGCTCGCCTCGCTATCATCGTTGAAGAAATGCAAGGTAAAGTCGGAGTATTCTTTTTCATATGAGTTAATGATGCTGTAGTTCTCAGATGCATTGTGGACAATTTCTACTCTGAGAATTCCATTCCTTGGCCAAGTGTTTTGTACATTTGCCAGGCAGTTGATTGGGGTGCGAGCAAAAACTATGTGTATGTAGGCAAGGATCCCCAACACTAAAAGAGCCTAAATAATCCAAAATAGGCAATTCAGTTGTCAGTGATATTACATGCATTCATTAGACAGACAATGAATGAAATAGATAGTTTTCATGTGACATATTTTTCCTTCGCGTTACTTCCCTTGGCCGCCATCTTGGAGGTCAAACTAGTGAACTTTCCTCTTTGAGCAACCAATTTCAAACAAGTATGGCAGAAATAAAAGGGCAAAAATCTTTGAAATACTAAAATTATTAATTAAAGGAAGCTTTTGTAAAGATATATTCGTAAGAAAAACTGTGTTATCTTCACTTCATTGCCTTGAATTGAAAGTTTAAAGTTAAATAATGAAGGAATCTGGGCTTGTTGACCTCCAATATTAGAACCAACGGGAAATAACTCTTTATAAAATCACATAAGCAAAAATTATCTACACATTAGCTAAACGCTGTGTATTACTGATTTTTAGAGTTCAATTAAAAATCCACAGCATACCATCAAAAAGGTGATAGTAATACACACCAGTGGCATACAAAATTTGCAAATCAAAATGTTATTTTAACAATGCTGAAGATTTTTGTTTAACGACATTCTAATAACAATTATTACCTTCAGTAAGATGGCAAATTCTAGGATCCTGCGAACCGGTTTTGGGAAGGCCCTTGCATATGTTAAAGCCACTCTGTAAAACAAGGCATGGAATAACCTCTCTCTCATGTTGAAGAGTGGGTTATTGGGGCGCTGTGACCTTCCTGGTCGACCCTCATTTTCTGCTTCAGCATTCATAGCTAAAATGTTAAATATACCAGGATCAATTGCCTGTTTGTGAATATTGATTTTATACATTTACTAGATTAAATAAAATATCAGAAATACTCGCCCCTTGTTAACCTCATCAAGCTATATGTATATGGTAGTGCAAGATACATGACATCCTACTAGCTTGGGCTAGTGGCATGCTTGCCAACCTCCAACATGTAAAAATCTGGTCATGACCAGATTTAGAAAGTAAAAAATCTGGTCATAATGCGTAACGACATTCACGACACATTCACCATGATTAAATTAAATATATATGTAAATATAAGCATTTGTTTATTTAGAATTATTTTATTAAAATGAGGTTTTAACTTACAATGACAAAAAATTAATATATATTGATTAAATTTACATGTTAAAAGAGCATTGAAGGTTTCATTATTCAGAATTGACCTGAATTAAGTGTACATTTTTTTTTAAAGAAAAGTTTTTTTCAGAACCTGCATTGCTGATTTGAAGCACATGGAAAGTTTGTGCTAAATTTGAAAGTATTCCAATTTTGGTTTTGAAGTTATTTTTCCTCTCCCGAATTAATTTAATTAACAAGTGCTATTAAATTTACAGTTATGCCTACACTATCTTCAAACACTTTATTTTATCTAATGAAAGTTGTTTTCCAAAATTCCTTGATATGTACATAAATATCGTTTCTCGTTTTTCTTGGTTCAATTTGTTCCTGCTGGCCCTGATAACAATCTCGTTCTATCGGACGCCATTTTAAATTGACTTCAAACTTTGATTTGTCAAAACAACTCTCAGATAATTGTTAACACCTGCACTGATAATTTACTGGTACACGGCCTACTGAACATAGCCATCGGCATTGTTTACATATATCCAAGCTGGGATTGTAACTGGAAGTTGAAAGTGCAACCTAATTTACGAACCAAATCCTGAAATTGGGAGATTTTCAGGTTGTTCGGCAAAAATCGGGTGAAAAGCATGACCCGCCGTGTCATTAAAATTAATCAGGTTAAGGTTCGAAAATTGGGTGTAACCCAACGAAATCAGGTGAGTTAGCAACTATGGCTAGTGGATTAAACCTTTAGCTCAGTCAGTAGAGCATTGTCCCCCTGGATCACAAACATCTTAAGCTCAAGTAAAAATCTTTTTATTATACCCAAATGTTGTAGAAGGTGATTGAAATTCTAAAAAGTCCAAGTCTGTTTCATGATCCTGGGGTCTTGACTGGCATATCAGAGGTTCCAGGTTCAAATCCATTTGGAGGCACATACATGTCTCTGTTACATACATACAAATTTTTAGGATCACCCTGTGCAAGGTATAAAAATGAGAAAATATTGGATTCACCTTTTATGCAAATAAAAATATGTAAATTTGTTATTCCTTGATCAAAAATGTTTTTGTTAGTTTTTGAAAAATGATTATTTCTATTTTAACAATTAGTGGCGGCTAACAGCCCACCTACATTAATGTGTCAGGTACTCTAGTCTACAGTACATATTGTCATACATCATTACAAGTGTACATGTCACATATCAAGGCCTGTTATATATCGACTTCATTTTGTAATGAAGGTCGATTTTTTAAAGATAACATGATAACAGATATTCCGTTCTTACCAGTCACAAAGCAAGAGAAAATTCTTTACAAACAACCTGAAATTTTGGGAATAAGTGATGTTTTATCGCTTTGATGTTGAGTACGAGCTTTGATGATAGAAAAATTAATCTCTAAACCAGACCTTGCATTAACATGATAAAGTTAATGTTTTACCTGCATAAATCATTTCATTGATGTTGTTTTGGGATTTGTAAATATAATTCTATGAATATTCTCTGTAGATACTGTTATTAATATGTCCATAATTGTTTTTAATGCATTATGAAATATATTTGCGTTTGCTTTGAGACTACAAAATGGAGACCGAAAATGAAAGTGGAAATGAACAAGAAAATTATTCCCGGCTTGTGTCGAGTGTTATCCATGAATACGATATCATTGACATGCAGTCGGGTTCCAAAAGCGAGGGAAGCTCAAACGAAGATGCAAAATCTCGGGATTCCTGTCAGGATGACGTCACATTACCTCGTGTGAACTGCCCAGAAAAAATAGTGAGTTTTTATTGCAGTCTCATGTGTTTGAGGATAGGCGCTTCCTTGGAATTTCAAAATGAATCTAACAATTGTGGTATATGTGTATGACAAAAAAACCTACCACGTAGTCATATTCCTCCCACTTAAAGACACCAAGCAGTTCTCCTCCTATAGCTCTCCTCTTGCTGCTTTTCTCTAGCAGCTATACAAAGACATTTAAAAATGGCTACAGGGCACAGATGCTTGGGGACGGACCCCCCCACCCCCACCCCTTTTCGTATCTCAAGGGTTCTTCGACTTTTTAAAATATAAAACAGTTTTCTATGACACATTCACAAAGTATTACAACTGAAAAAACTCTCTGATACTGTACTATAAGAGAACAAGGTTGTCAAATTCGACAGACGACTTTCGACACCTCCATGGGAAATCCTCAAAAAATGAAGGCAAAAGCCACTTACCGGCTGGAAGTGTAAAGGTTTCCTGTGCTACAGGGAACTTGGGAAGGGAAAAATGTGATGCTTATTTACATTAAATGTGTGTATTTCTTTTTATCATATATCTTTTATTTTCAGATAATATGTCTAGATATGAGCTCAGAAATGGATAAAGTTTCATTTCGGTCTCGATCAGGGTAAGCATTTTGTGTGTGTTTCTTAATATACTGAAGACAGTGAAAGGACTTGTAAACTATAAGCAGTTCTTTCTGAAAATATACTCAATGCATACTTAATTTATTTAGGGTATTGAAAATTTAGTGCAAAATTTAGAAAGAGGCTGTTTGGCACAATCACTCATGAATTAGTGGTTTTTCATATATTCATAATTACAGCAAATCATATTAAGCAGCTTTCATGATGGATTGTATGTTGTTTTATGTCCCGTTCGAGAATTTTTAAACTCATATAGAGACGTCACCATGTTCCGATGAAGGGCTTCAAATTTAGACCTTTACTTGCCACTGAGGGCCATTGAGCAGTGAGGGTTCTTATCGTGCCAATGTCTGCTGTGACACGGGGCCTCGGTTTTTAAGGTCTCATTTGAAGGATCCACAACTTTCACTTCAAAGTGTTGAGCGCTTGGTGATGGAAGAGTTGCTACCTATTTTTAATCGACTTAGGTCAGTCGTGGCTGGAGCTCGAACTCAGACCTTTCGATCACGGAGCGAGCACTCTACCAAATGAGCTACCATGAACTTGCTAATAAAGGATTGTTATAGAACCAAAATAAGAATGGTTTTTAAAATAAATATGCTATCAGTGATTTTGTCAACTTGCAAATTTGTTCCGTGCTTCTTTTTAATTCAAGTAGCAGTAATTACCTTTTTTTAAAAGAATGACCCTGATGTATTGAACTTTATGCTACTAGGCTTAATAAATTCTAGTCATGAAATTATTAAAGCATATTTTACACAAGGAAAGACTCTTAGTATGTTTGTGACATTGATGTGATTTTCTTCTGTTTGAACGACATTGATGTTGTTGAATGTTTCTTGCCAGGGATAAGTGAACCCCTATGCTGATGTCTTGATAGGGATAATTGGATGCCCATGAAGTTGAATAATTTCTGTTTGTACACAATGCTGATGTTGAATGTTTTTTGACAGGGATAATTGGATGCCCATGAAGTTGAATTATTTCTGTTAGTACACAATGCTGATGTTGAATGTTTTTTGACAGGGATAAGTGGACTCCTATGAAGCTTGTCCGGAGGGCTCTGTCATTTTTTCTCCACAGTAAACAGCGAATCAACAAAAATCATCAGTTTGCATTAGTCCATCTGTTTGACAAAGCATCATGGGTAAATCTATTTCACTTAATCTTTCATTCAATCAAAAGAGTATTATAGGAAAAACAAGTAGATGATCAATAAACAGGCTAAAAACAACTTCTCTAAGGTGAATCAATCACTCACATTGTTTGGAGAAAAACAGAATGGAATTTTATAAATTCGCAGTAATTCAAAATCTGACAGATTTGTTCATCAAAAAGAATACTTATATGCTTGATTTTAGCCCTCATATGAAGGTTTTATCAAACTTTTAATGGAAGATATCTGTTTACATTAATGCTTTAATATTTCTAGGTTAAAGATTTTACTGGAAATATCAAGTCCATAATGAATGCCTTAGATGATTTGTCTGAGACGGTGGAGCTACAGTCCTTCAATGCGACCTCCCTGTTTGACCTCATGTAAGCATCCATTAACAATTGATCAGAAAGAAAGAGCTGAAGAGTTTTTATTTGAATTTGTGTAGAAGTCTTAATATTAAATAGTTACATTATGAATGAAATCATTTTCCAACGAAGAGTTCTCCATGGAAGACTTTGTCCAATTTAAAATCCTTTTAAAAACGTGAATTTTGGGGTTAAATTTTATATTTCTGCAAGTCTGGAAAGGAGGTGATATACCTTACATGTAATGTTTTAAATAAATCTTTTGATAATATGGTCTGTGGAAAAGAGTGATTGATTATTTGGCTTAATATTTAAAACAGTTTTACAGCATAGAACTCAGTTTAAATGATGAAGTACATTTATATACATATGTATCCATGGTTGTCTTCTTATTTCAGTCATCAGTGCGTGCCGCTTCCAGAAGTGGAGGGAGACGTGACAATCCTGCCACCTCCTTATGTTGTTAGGATGTTGTTTATTTACGGCCGATCTAATGGGCTTATTGAGTTCCATGATAAAGAGGTAATGATGTACCATTATTTACGGCCGATCTAATGGACTTACTGAGTTCCATGATAAAGAGGTAATGATGTACCATTATTTACGGTCAATCTAATGGACTAATCGAGTTCCATGAAAAGAGGTAATGATGTACCATTATTTACGGTCGATCTAATGGACTTATTGAGTTCCATGATAAAGAGGTAATGATGTACCATTATTTACGGTCGATCTAAAAGGACTAATCGAGTTCCATGATAAAGAGGTAATGACGTACCATTCAGTGTTTTCAATAAGAGCCGGCAACCGGCAAAATTAACCGCCTGTACGAGAAATTTTGCCGGCTATGAGATATTTGTCATTGGAATTTTGATGGGGTTGGTACGTGAAATCCATAGATTTTATCGCGACTATCTACATGATCTAGAGTAACTTCTCTTGAGTGTGCTCTTTTTCATGGATGTTTTATTTGGTCCAAATCTATGCTACAACATGCGAGATGCCGAGAGTTAAGTTTAAAGAATATATTTTTAATGAATAATTAGAACTTCATAAAAAAAATATCACAACTCAACAATCGCGATTATTACTTTAGCTTCAAAGATATGACCAAGTTGGCACAAGATTATTAAGAATTGTAAGCTTCATAGGCACAAGCGTCAGGTATCTATGGCCTATAATGTCGAATAGGAAAATGTTTTTAACATTCACTGTCACTTCACAAGCTAGGTCAAGATTAAAATATCAATCACAACAGCAAATATTTATATCTAGACCGATATAAGTTTACGTAGGACGTAGGAATTCTAACAGAATTTCCTCAAACTGAAAATGTAAAATTTGTTTTCTCGATTATTTGTGTTAGATCTCTTGAAATACGGTAACAGTATTACTTTGCCCATTGAAGAAGGTTTTATAAAGTAGAAATTTTATTTTTTATTATTTTGCTCTGTACAAAATAGTGAAGCATCTAAAAGTTTATGATAGTTTAGTCTAAGATTCCAGAATATTTCAATTTTTTGGAACTGTACATGTCTATAATAGATACATAGTTTTCAGAACAAAAACCTCAGTCTGTCAAAAATCCATATAACAAATCAGGGAAAGGAAAAAAACAGTTTTTATATGGCTTTATAAGGTTAAATTATGTAATTGATTGGACAGAAATGTGACAAAAGATGGTACTTTTGTTGGTCCCCAGACCCCTCGCCGAGATTGGCTTCCTGCTGTTGCAAATATATTTCCTTCTATTAAAAATCTTATTGAAAACACTTCCATTATTTACGGTCGATCTAATGAACTAATCAAGTTCCATGATAAAGAGGTAATGATGTACCATTATTTATGGACGATCTAATGGACTAATCGAGTTCCATGAAAAAGAGGTAATGATGTACCATTATTTACGGTTGATCTAATGGACTAATCGAGTTCCATGATAAAGAGGTAAGGATGTACCACAGTATTGAAGTAAGGGATGATGAGGAGTTTGTAATTACACCAACTCTGCTTCAAATTACAATTTCTTATAGATTTTTTTGTAAATATCAGACTGTTTAATGTTAAATTTGATTTTTCAGAGTTATAGATTGCTGGATAGTTCTCCATACTTTGTTTTTGATGCCCTTTATGTCCATGAACCACCATCTGAAGAGAACAAATGTGAGGTCAGTAAGCAATGTTGGATTTAGTTCAGAGTAGGTCTTTTCTATTTATCCTCCAACAGAGGTCAGTAAGCAATGTCGATTTAGTTCAAGAGTAGACCTTTTCTGTTTTTATTGTAAGGTGATCCAACACGTGGGAAAGAATTTTGTTATGCCAGGACCATGGCGATTTAATTTTTTGATACACTGTGCTACCAGATTTATACAAACAGTGTACAGTTTAGGAACACAGAATTACTACTATTTCTTAATTGGCTGTTGCAAATTACTGGCCTATCATATATATTTTTTTTGTACCCTTTTTCTCAGTTCAAGTGAAAATTTATCAAGGAGGAGAATGCTGATATACATTTATATGACTTGTATTTAGTTAAATGGGTATACAGACAGAATGTCAACAAAACAGATTCCTGTTCGTATTATCTGTTATATAGAAAATATCTGAAAACATGATTTGAAACTGAATAACAGACGAAATTGCAGAGAACAGCAGGGACTGTTACTGACTTTGTCAGGATATCTTTGACTGTCTCTTTGACTTTTATATGTTTATTATTTATTGACTATTTCAACCTCTTTAATGTTTATGAGTTTTTTATACATTGACTCTTTCAGGAAATCTTTGATCGCCTCTGTGATTTTGATGAGAAGGGAATGTCCTACATCTTTGAGGCTGCTAGAAATCCAACTCGACTCTATGATCAAATGTCACAACTATTGGCTCACCCTTTACAGCGCCCTCTACAGGGTGAAGTCTCTTATCGCCTCCACAATGTTGCTGATCTCACGGATACCTGACAGAGAAGGACTATTACTTAAAGTTTGGTTATCTAAATAACTGGAACAGCCATGAAAGAGATTTAACACAATAGGTGTGTTCAAAAGGGCTACATAAACTATAAAACTGTAATATATTTGCCCTCAGTTGAAAATTAGAGGCATGTCATTTTCTGTTATGTGACCTTTATCTTACCATATTGGTCTGTATTGCAAGTACATGGACATGAGAGGAAATTTGTAAATGAAGTTTAAGTTTTTCTGATTCAGTATAAGCTACTTCATTTAATCAACTCAAACTACAGATATAAACATGGGAATCAGTGGAGAGAGTGGACAGGTAGTTTGGGATTCATGATAGACATTCTACAAATGTGTTTGTTCTTTCAAACACAGACACAAACACATACATGCAAAGAAAAACACAAACATGTTTGAAGTTCTTATCTTCAGCAGTATAAATGTGTAATTCTTTACACATAGATAGAGTTAAACAAACAGATCAGTAACTTCAATCACTGACTGAGGCCATAGTACATATATCAGACTCAGCACAACAGGCTGAGAACCAAGACAAAAACTCTCGTGACAGACAATATATAGAATATGTTGGACAGAAAGATCTATAATGAAAAAGATGACAAAATAAAAATTCAAATCCATATTGTTGACAATTTATCTAAATAAAAAAAACATACCACAAAGTCAGATACGTCTTGAACAACAGGAATTTGGTCTCATATCTGCCTCTCATTGTCCTAATTTTTATTCATTTCATGTTTTATGTTCCTTTGAATTTCTGTGTTAGAGGCAATAATTTACATTCATTGTTAAACATATAATCATATGTACCAATCTTTTGTTATTAAAGATGTTATAAACAAATCAAACTGTCTTCAGTTTTGAAATATAGAAATCATTTTTTTCTTCTACAAACATGACATTAATCATAGAAAATCTGTTTTTGAAATACATATTATAAGAATATCTTGAAACATCCAGATTATATTCTACCCATTTGATCTAAGGAAGTTGGATGAATAAGACAAAACAAATACAATATCAAAAAAAGTTTTTATATAAATTTAGATGTATATTTGTTGTTTTATCTATATAACATGTCAAAATTCTATGAAGGGAATGTGAAGATAAAACAAGAGGCCCACAACACTCACCTGAGTTACTTTGGCTCTGCTGTTCTTCACCAGATTTTCCCCTTGTAATAATACCTATTGTGGCCCTATCCTACCCCCGGGGGTCTTGGTTTGAACAATTTAGAATCTACCCTACACCAGAATGTGTCAAATAAGTTTAATCTTTTCTGGTCCAGTGTTCTTGAGGAGAAGATTTTTCTATATATTTCAATGTAAATCTTTGATTCGCTATTGTGACCCTGCCCTACCCCTGGGGTCACGATTTGAACAATTTAGAATTTTCACTACCCCAGCATGCTTCAACATAAGTCTCAGCATTTCTGGCACAGTGGTTCATAAGAAGAAGATTTTTTCAAAATATTTCAATGTAAAATTTGGATTCCCTATTGTGGCCCTGCCCTATGCCGGAAGGGGGGGGGGGGGTCATGATTTTAACAATTTAGAATCTACACAACCCAAGGATGCTTCCACATAAGTTTCAGCTTTTCTGGCCTAGTGGTTCCTGAGAAGATTTTTTTTAAAGACCCCACCCTATTTTTGTCTTTTCTTGATTATGTCCCCTTGAAAAGGGGCTTGGCCCTCCATTTTAATTATTTAAACTCACCTTCACGCAAGGATGCTTTGTACCAAGTTTGGTTAAAATTGGCTTAGTGGTTATTGAGAAGAAGTTGAAAATGTGAACAGTTTACAGACGGAAGGACGACGGACAAAGGTTAATCAGAAAAGCTCACTTGAGCTTTCAGCTCAGGTGAGCTAAAACTGATCATGCAAAAAAAATTAAACTATACAATTTGTAACCAAAGTTCATTTGAACCTTTGAAAACAGAGGTGGGATCAGGTGCAATGGAGTAGGAAGCCTCCCCTAGTACTAGTAACCAGTATTGTTACCTTACACAAGTCTACGTTACTGGAATCAAAATGCCATTACTTCTTATTAGTAAACAGATACACTGTATACAAACTCTTAAAAATGACTGAACTTTTTAGATTTCTTCATAAGGGGAATGATTCTTATTTGTAGACAACAATTTATAAATGGATGGAAAAAGGAAAATATTGCTGAACATTGTCATGATGCAAGCTCCATCAGAGATCTGGAAAATACAAAGTATTTATCAGAAAAATCAACTATGTATAACGTTAGATATAGAATAATATCACTTTTTGCTGTTATTGACAGAATATGAGTACTTTCAAACTTGAAGTGTGTGGACTGCATGATTCATTCTTTGAAAACCACATTAAGCTAAAGCTAAAGGATACAAATTGTTTGTTGAAGTATATCTGATTTATTGTACCAGTATAGAAAGCTAATTCAAGTACACTTCTACAATTAATTTGGAATTCCGATTTGCTACCAACCAATTATTTTAGCCAAGCTTTTCTGCCACAACCTCAAGAACAGGTTTCATCCCTTTCAACGAGTCAACATTTTATATGAGCATATGTGTTCACTACAGAAAATGAGTTGTCTTAAAGCAACTTTGAATCCATATACTGCGATATTGCAATTATCAAAGACTGATGCAGTCACACGGAGAATACTAGTATAGTGTTTAATATGAGTCCTTAAAAGCCATATCTGTTTTTTTTTTTTACCTCAGCCTTTTTTACAAGAATAATCGGCAAGGCGTTTGCCGACACAACAGCACCACTAGCAAGGAATATCGATACACCTCTCAGTCCCTGAAAGCGACGATGCAAAGGAAGAAACTTCGATAAAAAGGCTAGTACGTTGGGTGTACACAGACCAAAGCAAACGTAAAAAAGCATCACCAAGGCTGGGTAATTTCTAAAGAGAAATAAACGGAATAACATACAATCTGTTCAAGACTGTCTTTTGACATCATAGTCAGCTAGTGATTATCAAAAGGAACACAGGAAACACAAATTTTAGCTGAAATCAAAACATTTAAAAAGGAGAGCAAAATGTCCCTTGATAATTACTTGAGTTGAGCGCATCCTATGACATAAAGCGCTAACCCTATCGTGAACAAAAAAGTACAAACAATCAGCCGAGGTATAGGTCCTAACTGGAAATGTACTGCAGAAGATGCACAGCCTAATGGAGACAAATACATGGATAAATATTCCAAATAAACAATGGCATAGAATCAAAGTGTAGTTAATAATGCCTTGATATTATAATTTGAGGACACGGAGGCTAACGTTGAAAAACAATTTAATCTATACCTCTGATTATATATAAATCAGACCTTGGAAGCTTACCACGTAATGCTTGGGATAAGATAGCGCAGCTTGTTTTATTAGCCTCTTCCTCGTCTTCCGTTTCTGATTGGATAACAACTGGGTATTGCGCTACGTCATGTAGTCGATGTTCTCCAATCAAACAACTCAGGCAGACGTGGATCTCACAGTTCTGACAAAAAGCCTCACAGCGTTGACCCGGATGCAATTCACAGTTCCTCTTCCTCCGTTTTTTGAATGGCACTATGTCATGTCGTTCGTCTTTAAGTACAATTAAATGATCAGAAACACACTGAACACACAGATAAGCTTGACAGCTTTTACAACAGATCTCGGCAGCATGGCCACAGAAGTTACAAAGGTACACATCTTGGGCCATTATGGACTTTGAAGCAGCCATAGCAATTTCCTGAGGTAGAAAAAACGTCATACTGAATTTATGTTAAGATGCTGATACTCCATCATTATATGCTAATACTTCTCTGTTTTACTGTTACTTAGACATTTTATGCTACAAAACTTTATAATAAACGTGATGACATCAACTTTTCCATCATCAACCTTATCAAATGCATATGGGGTGTATATTTCCAAGTTGATTCGATACGCAAGAGCATGTGCCACGTATGAACAATTTCTAAAACGAGGTTAAGCTATTGACAAACAAGTTGATAAAAAAGGATATCAAAAGTCTCGTAAAAAGTCATTATTTTTCAAGTCCTATGGTCGATACAGTGACCTTGTCAGCATAAGCAATCTATCATTAATTCTAATGCTAACTGACATTTTTCATATAGATTGTTAGACCATTATTTAAACACTGAATTTTGTACGGATTTTTCAGTTTGCCCGGTCATGACAATGAGCACTCGGCGGGTGGACCGGTCTGCAGGGGATGCTTACTCCTTCATGGCACCTGATCCAACCTCTAATGTTTTTAGAGGTCCATGTTTGCTTTGCTCCAAATTTATATAGTTTCATTGGACTTTTGAGATTGATTACTGTTCGTTATCTTCATATTTCATGCTAACACTTTGTTATTATAATATGTGCTTATACTTTTCCATTAAATGCTGATAATTTGACATTTTATGCTGATATTTTCAGCATCGAATGCTGATGCTGATACTTCTGCATAATATACTGTTCCTGATATTTCTGCATTGTATGCTGTTGCCTCGTCATTATATGCTAATGATATGTCTTTACATGCGGATTCTTCATTGAATAATGGTATTATGGATAATATGCTGATGCTTTTATTTCATTTGTTGTTCCATCATAATTTTATAATGATCCCTTTTAAGGGTATGCCCGTCATTTACTAATTAAGTTTATAATATTTTGGTAAAATATTTTAAACAGAAACTTCCAAAAAGCAAGACATGAACTTTTTTCATCAAGAGTGGAAAACATGTTGCATATATATATATATATATATATATATAGAGAGAGAGAGAGAGAGAGAGAGAGAGAATGATGAAGTGCTTCAAATTTAGACCTGTATTCGGTACTCAGAGCTATTGATCAATGAGGGATCTTTATCGTTCCAAAGCCGCAATGAAAGGGGGCTCGATTTTTAGGGTCTCATACGAAAGACCTGCAACTTTCACTTTAAGTTATTAGCGCTTGTCGAAGGAACAATTGCTACCTATTTCTTCTCATCTTAGGTTTGTCGCGACCGGGGCTTGTACTCAAGACCTTCCGATCACGAAGCGAGAGCTCTGTAGACTTGATGCATGGAACACCAAAATTAACCATCAACTCCATCAAAACAAAAGTAATGAGATTGAACAACATCAACAACAAGAAGATAACGATAGTGATTGAGGAATTTAACACTTTTGTCTGTCTGTGTGCTGCTATGAGTGAAAATATGGACAGAGAGGGAGAAACAGAGAAGAGTGGGTCTTGTTAGAATAGCCTACAACAGTCTCTCCAAGATATGCCCAAGCAGCCAAGTTTTAAGAAGGAACAAATTGACGATCTTTAACTCAAAAGTTATATTTCTATTTAATTAAGGCTCGAAAACATGGAATATGAACAAAGGATATGAAACACTTCAAGACGCATTCCTCCATAAACTTCTCAGGAAGATTATGAAAATATTTTGGCTGGTAAAAAACAGAAATGAAGGAGTCAAAGAACTGGCTGGTAACAATCACAAATGAAAGAGTTAAAGAATTAGCAAACACAGAAAATATATGTAACATAAACCCAGGAGATGGACATGCAGAGGACATGTGCTAAAAATGAGAGCAGATAGCCATGCCAGAACAACCTTAACGTGAAACATGGAGTAGATTTATAAAAAATGGAAAGGATACTCCTCACGATTCAGGTCAGATCTCCACATACATTGTCAAAAAGGTAGGTGCTTAATTTTTTTCTTGCTTTCCAGTAGTTTTGGTTTTAAACGGTATTAAACATTTTCACCAAATATATTTTTCAGCCCATATAAAAAATAATTATCTCACTATATTTACATTTGCAAATGTTGTCCCTGAAATAACACTATTTCAACAAGGCATATTTATATCTGTATATAAACAGGTTCGTCATGTGACCATAAATAAATCGATTGTTTAGCCATAAACTATTTACGTAATTTCATAGTGACGTCATAAATGATCGACGTGTTCAACACATTCAATTTATACCTTTGAGGTTTGAAAGAATAAAAGTAATAAGGTATCATTAAAACTTTTATCGGGATGTAAATACGAGTTGGCACCTGATCAAATCTACCAAAAAGCCCTTATTTTTTTGAATGAAGTACATATATCATTATATAATAAAAAATATGATCAACAAACAATGTCAAAGTATCAGTTATAATGTCAAAGGAACAGCATATAATATCAATTCATCGGTTTAGAATACGGATCAGCATGTAATGACAAAGTAATGTGCATTATAAATGCATTAGATAAATTAATAACTTATCGACAGTTTCATACAGTTTTTTTTTCATGGACCTTAAAACACAACCAAGAATTAATTTCAATATATATATCTTGTCATTATAGTGAAAATTGCAAGTAATGTACCAAGAATATGTAATAAGAATATAACGAACAGTAATCAATTTCAGAAGTCCATTGAAACAATACAAATATGGAGCAGAGCAAACAGGGACTTCTAAAAATCATCAGAGGTGAGGTCAGGTGCCATGAAGGAGTACGCATCCCCTGTCGACCGAACACACCCGCCATGTGCACTTTGTCATGGTCTGGCAGACGGAAAAATCCGTACACAATTCAGTGTTTAAATAATGACATAACAATAAGTATGAAAAACGTCAGTCAGCATTTGATTTAATGATAGATTGTATTTGCTGACAAGGTCATTGTATCGACCATAAACCCTTCGAAAAGATGACTTTATACAAGACTGTTGATATCCTTGTGTTTCATCAACTTGTTGACTATAACTTGCCTCGTTTAAGAAATTGTTCGTACGTGGCGCATGCTATTGCATATCGAATCAACTGAGAGATATAAACTTCATAACTATGCAGTTGACAAGGGAAAATTGCTATGTAAAAAAGGGAAGTTGACGATGGAAAAGTTATCACGTTTTTCATAAAGTTTTGTTGTTAGGTTACCATTAACTTCTTTTTCCAGTAAAATATCTAAATATGAAACAGATGTGTCAGACTCTGTTGTATCTTTTATATCAAGATTACTGGGATATATCGATTCGACATGTCAATGGAAGTAACTATTGTTAATTGATAATTCGTCGTCGATATATCTAAATGTCGGGTTGAAGGCCACGGCAAGTGTTTTCTTCTTAGGTATAAGTATTTGAATAAACTCTTCTTCATTTGAATATAAAATAGATACAGAGATTTTTAATATAATATTTGTATTTATTCTAAAATTCCTTTAATTTCTTTAAATTTTTATTGAATTGTTCGATTTCTTGAAGTTTTTGACAAACTTTTTATCGAAACTAATTAAAATTTTGGTAAGTATGAAACGCCTAATTCAAATGAAGATATGTATCTGTTTTCTTCATTAACACTACACTTTCAAACCGTTTGGTTCGAAGGGTCGACAAAACGCATTTTCACCGAGAACACGTGCAATTAAATGTTTGTTATACCTTTTACTTTTTATTGTGACATATCTTGCTCTGGTTTCCAAGCTTGTGGTAATATATACGATATAGCTGATTCCTGCAACTGTTTGACGTGAAAAATATCAAAAGCGGCCCGGTCTAATATCTCATCGACAGGTCCAACATCTCACCCAGCGGTCCAAAATCGATTTATTTGGACCGCCCAGTAAAACATTGGAAATATACATTTTCAGTGTAGATTTTAATAGGAAACAATTTTTAAAGGTATAACAATTAGCTTTGATTATCGTATAATCTGACATTACTCTTTCAGAACCTTTCAATATCCCAATTTCATAAATTTACTTATCTGAATATTAGATTAAAATTTTGAAAAAAATATCACAAATATCTACAGACCTTGTAAAAAATTCAATGCAATATTTCCTTTCATCATCTACCTGTACAATCCAATCACAACAACAAAAAATAATTCCAGATAACTACGAATATTTTACTTTCGATTTTGATATATATTTTGACATGAATAATAAATATATATATTGGTGTAACAACATATCATATCAATGAATCTGACTAGGCAGATTGGTTCCCAAGAAACGTGGCTAGTAAAGGTGTCATTGTTCACGATTTGTTTGGCCAAAATTTCTTTGGAGACGCGAACTGCCAAATTATTCATTGTCTTTCTTGACTTCTCTATGTCTATCTACCTGTTGTATCATATTTTTCTACCAGAGCCTAAACATGCTAAATGTTGATGATCGGAAACGTGTAAGGAGCTCACCTTTTAGTGCCGATGACAAAACTATGTTAACGTACTTCAATTCACAAGTTATTGGTGTCAAATAACTACCTGGATATTTAAAGTGCAACAGGCGCACTCTAATGCAACTATGACAAGGTGGAGATAACGAACAGAGATCGATCTCAAGTATCCCATATTTAAACGTGGATGGGGTATTTTGTTGGTCTTACTGTTACTAATTATCCTAGGACAGACAGATTTCCATGGATTGAACTATACACATATAAAAATATGGTTGAATGTGGTTAAGAAAAGAGAGACGGATGTATGAGGAAAAGGACGAGGGGAAGACGGGTATCTATTGAGGATCGGAATAATGTACATATACATATCTACACATATAAAATATTACGATAACAAACAGTATTCAAGCCAAAGTCCATTTAAACAATACAAATCGGGAGCAGAGCAAAGCAGATGTGAGATTAAGTGCCATGAAGGAGTGAGCATCCCCTGCCGACCGGTCACACCCGCCGTGTGCTCCTTGTCATAATTGGGAAAAACGGGAAAATCCGTAGACGATTCAGTGTGTAAATAATGGCCTTACAATTAGTATGAAAAACGTTAGTCAGCATTCGACTTAATGAAAGTTTTATTTACTGACAAGGTCATTGTATCGACCGTGAAACTTGCGAAATGATTACTTCACACGAGGCTGTTGTTATCTTTGTTTCATCAACTTGTTTGTCAATAGTTTGCCTCATTTTAGAAATTGTTCAACTGTTTGATCAAATCATACTGTTGGTCAGGAATCCTGAATCCTCCACTGAAAGTGATTATCTTTAATCCTTCTTAGTATTTATTGTAAAATTAATATAAACCATTCTCTGATTTAGAGCAACCTACAGTTGCAACAAACAAATTACAAAGGTTCGAGAATCAAGCACTTGATTAAACAAACCTATCAGTTACAAGGCTGAAGGGGAAACATAATGTTAAGTTCACATATCACATATGGTACACTATTTTGCCAGAAATTTCCCTCTTTAAAAAGCCACATGGCGTCAGTCTTCATGAAAAAATACTACTCGGTATTTACATGATTTATAAGCACTAAAAAATATATGATGACATGCAGAGTTTTAGCCAGTTTACTTCGTAACGCAAACCTTTGTTACACTCAGCTATTGTTTTATTTAATTATTTTACATTTTTTCAAATTATTTTTGATTTTAAATATATTAAAAGAAGCAATGCTAGTATTTTGTAATCTGTATTCTATTTCAAACATTTATTTGTTACAAAAGATGTTACAAAAGAAAGGAAAAACAGTATTACTTCTTCTAGACTGTAATAAGGAATAAGACTTCTTGAGGTATGATGTAAATCGTGGAGATTACAATATTATTCATTGATAAATTGTATAATCTCTGATGGCAATACTCGTGTGTTCTCATATCTCATTTTCATGTTGTTTGAATCCATCCGCAGAATATTTCAATTTTTTTTTATCATTTAGAAGTCTTTATCCAGGGTTTTAAGAATGCAAAAGGAAACATTTTGAATTTGATTTTTTAACTAAATTCTGTTTGATTTATTTGAGTAAGAATTCTACACGTCAAAACATTGAATGCACGTTCTGAAATCTACAAGAATACTGAATCATTGCGGGAAGGATGTGGATCTTCGCGGGAAGGATGCGGATCATGACGGGTAGGATCTTCAGTTTTAGAAAACATTTTATAAATAGATAGGAATATAAAAATGTTTCCCAAAATTGCGAAGATACAAGCTTCAACAGTGATCTGAAAAAAAAAAACAAAGAAAATTTATTTTTTTGAAAAGAGCATTTTCATTTCCTCCCCGAGATATCAGTGATCATGTATCCTTTTAAATTAAAGATGCAGCAAATTGTTGTATATGTTATTGTTACAATTGAAATGGAGTACACGTTCTAGACAAAGTTCGCAAACTCTTGAAAAGTAATTATTTAATCTTTACGCCTCTTAATGATCCTTCAATACACAACAGCATATGGACAGTAATAAAGGATTGTGAGACATTGGAAAGTTACGCATAAGACGAAAGATAGTTTGGCCTTAACGTATAGACACTGTTAAAAAAATTATGGGGATCAAAAAATCTAAATCCTACCTTGGAATTATTAGTGAGTACAATCGGGAAAGCAATGGCTGACACAAAAGCACCAGTGGCAAGGAATAAGGACAGATCTGACGATTTCGAAAGGCCTGGTTAATATCGGCGTAAGGGAGAACAAAGGGCAAACCAAACATAGAAGGGGGCCTCGAAGAAAGGAGAAAAATTCCTAAAACCAGAAAGGAAATTCATGTAAAATACTTTTCATATCTCTAAATTGTTAATTGTTGATTGGTACTGAAAGTTTGCTCTCTGACTTCATAAGACCACCGTGCATATTTTATATGATGGAATTGAGTCGATCTTAAGGTGATTCTCTAGTTACACTTTTATGAGTTCAAAGTTGAAAAACTGCATAAATTTCCACTGAATATAGCATATATTCTTAGTAAACAGCATTATTAAAATAATTGAAAAACTGGTTAAAATGACATAAATTAATAATGAATATTCCAAATAATTGTAACTTTAAAAATATGCATAAATTGTGGATATCGAGGAAACCAATTCAGAATAAAAATATAATAAAGAAAATGCAATAACGAAGATACAAGTGTAAAAGTTATAGCCCTTCGCGCTTTTTTGAAAAAGAAATAAATAATCAATTATTTATAGAAAATATTATTTTCAAGTTCTTTTATTAAACAATATTTCTAATTACACCCATTTAAACCAATCTCCAAAAAGATTTATTTCTATTGGGCATGGACCTAAATGGATGAAAGATTTCAAGAATGTATGACATCACATGAGGTGGCTATACCATAAATAAATGACAGTTATATTATACTTGCTGGAAAGGAATACATCCAATAAGTAAGAGAGTAATCCCAATGGTGAACAAAAGTGCACAACAAATCAATCTGGACATCGGTTCACACTGGAGCTGTACCACAGAAGATGTACAACCTAATAAAAAAAATAACTTTAAACAGAATTATTTAAATTGGAACTGTGTCTATGAAAACAGTTCATGGCCATATTACGTAGACTACTTTCCCGCTTGTCGGCAGAATTTTATTAATTAGAAAATATGTGTGCATATGTAGCATTTGAAAAATGTATATTGTCATCTACTTTTAGCTGACGCCCCCATTTTCTAATGCGTTGGTTTATTTGAAATAAAAATGTATCTAAGAAACTTACATTTGCGTATTGAAAGAACTGGTTGCAGAATGAAAGTAGTGCATTTTCTACATGCATTTGATTCAGTAATCACTTCATCTACGCTAGCGTGTTCGTCCTCATCTTCCTCTTCCATCCTTGTTTCTGACTGGATAACAACTGAGTATTCCTCTACGTCATGAAGTCGATGTCCTCCAATCAAACAACTAAGGCAGACATGGACCTGACAATCTTTACAGAAGGCATCACATCGGTGACCCGGATGTAACGTACATTGCCGCCTTCGTCTCTTTTTTAACGGCGCTATATCATGTCGTTCATCTGTCAGTTGCTGTAGGTGGTTTACAACACACTCCCCACACAGATAAGCCTGACAACTTCTGCAGCAGATCTTGGCAGCTTGGACACAGAAGTTACAAAGGTAGACATCTTGGGCCATGATGGACGTGGATGCAGTCATGACAAATTCTAAACTCTCAGTAAAAACAAAAGCTAAAGTTCATGATGAACATGATAAATATACCCTATGTTATATTGACCGACAACTTTTCAGAACATATCGATATCTGATCCTATATATTACCTGTAAAACATTGATCCTCTATATTGCGCAACCCTATCCCCGGGGGTCATGATTTGAAGAAACTGGAATTCACATTACCTGATGATACTTGCATACTTTTATACTTAAAATATCACCTATTAGTTGCTGTCGTCTCTGAGAAGATTTTAAAACAATTTTCCTGTAAATTCTAATCAAAACTTTGTTCCTGTTTTGTGGCCTCAGTCTACCCTCGTGGGCAATGGTTTGAACAACCCCTCGGCTCAAATAAGCTAAACCACAACATTTATGCTCTTTATTTTAACTAGTTGAGTATTTTGCCATTTAAAGATTGCCATTATTCAATGTTGGGAATAATTCAAAGAGGCATAAGAATATAAAGTGTTTAAGGTGTATCCTAGTAATTTAACACAAAACTTTCAAAATTGTTTTTCACAAAAAAAAAAAAACAAAAACCAAAAAACAAAAACAAAATAGAAACAGTTGCATATACGAAATGTCTGTAGATGGTCTGATTGTAAATTGTCTGTGTTATCTAAAATATATGTAAAATTATATCGCAAGTAACACGTGAAATATAAATTCAAACCGTTGGCTTCATTTTTTTTCAATATTTGCTTTAATCCGAATCACTGCCACCTAAAAGGCAGCAACTTATAGTTCAAGCCACTCTACTGCTCGCAGATGCAGTGAGTTTGTTGCAGGTTTACTGAAAATAAAAACCCTACATGGTGTGAAACCAATTACACTTCTTAGAGATTAGCCTTCCTTATCTTGGTTCGTGTTGTCTTTGACTAACATAATAATATTTTTAAATGAAAAAACAATCATGTAAGTTTACTGTAGCCTCATAAAAGCTGAAATATGAAATATTATCCTTTCTTTTAAAAAAATGAACACTTCTTCTGAAAGAATGAGGTTTTCCTTTGTAGAATAGTAATTTTTGTTTAGGCTTGCAGATGCAAAGTTAACACAATTTAGGCCATTTAAGAACGAATTTGATTTTATTTTTCTCTTCAATAAGATTGACGAATGAAGTGGAACCAGCATCATTTATTAATCTTCATTCTCGTTTCTTTGAACTGCAAAATTTTTATTTAATTGTTTATTTTGCTGAATAATTAAACAAGATTTTATTGTATGGAATGTGAGGATAATGAAAATTATTCATGCTCAAAGTCCAACCAAACAATAAAAATTGTGAGGAGAGCAAACACAGACCTCTGAAAATAGAGGTATGATCAGGTGCCATGAAGGAGTGAGTTTCTCCTGTCGACCAATCATAACCGCCATGTGTTCTTTGTCATGATCGGATAAACGGAAGAATCCGTTAACAACTCATTGTAAAAATCATGACCTAACAATTTGTATGCAAGATAGTAGTCAACATTCTACTTAGAGATAGATTGTCGTTCATACAAAGTCATTGTGTCAACCATAAAATTTGGAAAATGTTGATTCTTCATACAGGTGTATCATCAACTTATTTGTCAAAACTCTGTCCCTTTTTAAAAATAAATCGTATGTAGAACATGGACTTGCGTATCTAATCAACTAGGAGACATAAACCCCATGTACAGGTGATAACGGTATATTGTTTCTTAAATAAGGGAAGTTGACGGTAGAAAAATTGAGGTTATCACGTTTATCATAAAGTTTTGTTGTTAGGTTGCCATTAATGTCTTTTTCTAATAAAATATCTAAATATAAAATAGATGTTTCAGAATTTGTGGTATCTTTTATGTCGAGTTCAATTAGATATATCAAATCAACTAGGAATGAAAATGAATTATGTTAATTTACAATATGTCGTCGATACATCTAAATGTCAAATTGAGGATCACAACGACAGGCTTTATCTTTCATGTAGAAGATTTTGAATAAATTCTGCATCATATTAACATAAAAACAGGTATGCTAATAATACTAATAATGGGGCACAATAATTACCCATGAAAAATCCAACAGATTGTTTGAAAACCAGGTCTCCAAAAAGTACATAGATATTGTCAATGAGAAACTCTAGCATCTCTTTAATATCGGCTTCAGAGTACTTGTCTTTAGAATTAAGAGTGTTTTTTAAAAATAAAATTATAGATGGCAATTAAGCATAAATCATTAATGTATGAAATAGCATGCACACACCAAAGACAGCATTACTGGTGACTTCTGCATATAATGGCCCAATTTTTTTCCTTCAAAAGGGAGCCTTGGCTTCATTTCAATGAAATAATGTATACAGGGCTATTTTCGCTCCGTGTTATTTTCGGGCGAAAGGAGCGAAAATAAAACGGGGGCGAAGATTGTTCTGTAAACAGTAGATTCAAGCACAACAGAATATTTCCTGCTGAAGCATTACCTGTAATTTCCAACCTGTTATTGCAAATGTTATTATAACAAAAATATTGCCTTGAATAATATACTCACAAGCTGTATCTATCTATCTATCTATCTATCTATCTATCTATCTATCTATCTCTATATCTATATATATTGGCCTCAATTGAATATTCCACGATTTTGAGAATGTAGGCTCTAGTAACCAGCCTTATTACTTTAAAATCAACAAAAGTCAAAGTTTATTGGAATCAAACTGTCATGTATGGAGCACAATTAGTACCCACTGGAATTCAAACAGTTTGTTGAAAAACCTGGTCTCCAAAGATTAAATAGATATTTTCAATGAGAAACTTCAACTTCGTTTTAATATCAACTTCGAAGTACTTGTGTGTAGAATCAGAATATGTTTTAACAAAATAAGTTTGCAGATGACTAATGACAAGGTATATGTATTTACGTATTTATATTGAAGAAACAGTTGTCTATGATGTCAGAAAGCCTTGTCTGTAATTTAACGTGAGGCATGGTTGTGTGAATTGTTGAAATGTCGTCCATTTGAATAACATTAATTTTGGTAAATTTTGTGCTCTCAAATTTTCTTAAAAGTCCCTTCAAGTTTTTAAGTATCCACATCTGATTAACACCACTTCTCGAAAATGTTGTTGTATAGTACTCCTGAAGTTTCCAATTCACAGTTCTTAAAATTTTTGTGTCGAGTAAGTAGACCGTTTAATAGAACCCGCTATATATATTTGTTTGTAATGATTTTTTTTTTTTGAGCTTTGGATTACAGTAGAAGTATGGTAATTCGAATTCAATTTGGTTGTTAGATATATTAAAAATAATAAAAGTTTTGAAGAATTTCATCCATAGAAAGGGATCTATGAGTATAAGTTAGATTACCCCTAATATCTAGCGTTGTTTTGTATGAACAGTACCAAGTCAAAATAGCAAATGTTTGACAAGTTTCCTCAGTAATATCTAGTGACATAAAATAGCGCATTTAAAAAAAAAAAAAAAACAACTTTTCAATATTTAAACTTTATAATTTTATTTATATTATGATACCTTTTAACAGACATAAATCTTAAATATTAGTGACCTCGTTAATGTAGTCAATGTAACGTTCGTTTTACTTATTGAACACATGTCTACCTGTACAAACGGAACATCTATGTAACAAAAAGCATAAGGTGTTCCAGTTCTTCTTCTTTCGATTTTGTTGAATATATTGATATGTACAGGAGAATAAAAATGCGCTGGTGTACTTAAATGTAATGCATGGATACTCTTGTTATATTGGGGCTTGGATCAATCTTCTATTGAATAGTCTGACTAAGGAATTGACAATATCATTTATTGATTTTTGAATTTTTGGCATCAATAGGTTCTCATGTCTTATATTTGCTGTAAATATGTCCCTTGCATTCATCCAAATACATGTATAAAGACAATGTCTATTGTTCCAAATTACTTATCAATGTTTTCAGCGTTTTATAAGAGAAAATAAAAAATTCTTCTACAATAACCAATATCTGATTTTATTGGAGTTGCAATTCTATATGTCTCACTATCAGTAACTAATCTAATTTGCTTTATATAGGGTTACAGAACATATATAATGAAAATACATGAAAGATTAAAAATTATCGGAAATTTCCAAGATGCAAAACTTAAAAGAGAATTAAACAGACAAAAAAACTTCTTTAAAATTGTACTTCCTCCTTGTGGTAACATAGTAAATGCGTCCATTTAAATTAAATATTTAAAGTTTGTGTCTTACACATAAACATGGCAAAATGTACATCCCACGTAATTTATCCTAAACTTCATAAAAATTCTTCTAAACATACATTCAAAGGTCCAGCAAATGTTCTACCAAGCCCTTATCTTTACTCCTTGCAAATACTTGAACTACTGTAAAAAAGAAACTTCAGACGTACTGTGCTACAGCATATTCCAGATGTGGATTCTTAAAAACTACAAAGAACGTTTAGAAAATTTAAAATCACCAATTTTTATATAAAGTTAATAGCATCAAAACGTAGGACTTTTCTAACTTTATACAAGCATTCCTCACGAAAAATTAAAAACTATGCTTATTGATATCATAGACAAAATTACTTTGTTAAATATCACTCTGATTCTACACAAAAGTACTCTAAAGTTAATATTTAAATGATGCAGGAGTTCCTCATTGACAAAATTTATATAGTCTTCGGAGACCAGGTCTGCCAACAAACTGTTGGAATTCTAATGGGCAGTATTTGCTCCTTTATTAGCCGACCCAAATAATTATTGGCACATGTTTTTATGGTCGCGTTTTCTGTAAAATTCTTTGCTTTTCTAGAGCAATTTGAGATATAGCATCAGGAAACCATTGTCAAATCTTAATTCACATCCAAAACAATAATTAATGTTTAAAAGGCTCCTAAAGCAGAAGAAAAAAATTGGAAGAAAAAATTTGTAAGAAAAAAGTTAATTATCAACTTTTATGCAGAGGTTTCTCTCTTAGAAATGAATTTTTAGAAAATTGCGTTCAAATTTACATATATATATATATATATATTTTAACAACTAACCGTTTACAGATTTTCTAACAGATTACAATCGTTCAAACCGAGTAA